GTGTTTGAAAAGTGAGTGAATAATGTATATATTCCTGGTCATGGATGGGAGTAGAAAGATGAGATGCAGCACATCAGCAGAATTCAAATCTTGCAGCATCTCCTGGCAGAGGGTCAGTGACATCACACAGAGCCTGTGCGCCTGGAGGGGTTACATGCCCTGCCACCTACGAGGCTTTGAGCAAATTGCAGTTCAAAAATTTCACCAAAGGGAAGACTATAAACCACTTCTGAGTACTTTATACCTAGAAAACCCTATGAGGGTCACCATAACTTAACCTGATGGCACATGATCAATAAAAATAATAAAGAAGTTAGATTTTCAAGCTGAGTAAAATTTAATGAAACACACCATGCATTTACATTCCAATCTCCAGTGGAACTAGATAATTCCAGCTGATAGAGAGTACATTACAGTTCAATTCAAATCCAAGCAGTGGTTTGGATAATAAAATTCAGTATTAAGACACCAACACTGGGTTATCAACTTTAGAGAGGTAAATGCTGAGACAGGCATTCAAAAAGGGAATCATACACAGGAGGGGATCCTTTACACTTCTTTCTGTTGCTAATATTCCCTGACTTATGCAACCTTCCGCCTAGCCTCTGGAACTGGAAGCATGTGCAGCCTGGAGGTTGGAGGGAATCCAAAATGAACAGACTCAGGAAAGAATCAGCATTTGATAGATAGCTCTGAGAGGGTCTTTGCTGTATTTAATCCAAATCTAAACTTGATAAATCTCCTTCGCTAAAAAGAAGCTTCCTTACAAGTCAACAGTTTTCCCATATCACTCTTGGGTAGAATGTTGAGTTCTTGGAAAGGCTTTGCAAAGCACTTTCCCTCTTTGACACACATCCCATCTGCCAAGAGTTTCATTTGCTTAGAACCAGTTTTTTCCTTCTTATTTATTTATTTATTTTATTTATTTATAGCAAGACCAGGCATTGGTATTGAACTGCTTTCCCTCATCCTTCCATCAGTCTTATTACTAATAGATCCTGGCAAGGAGCCAAAGGTAATTTCCTCACATCCCTTTTAGCTCTCAATCCCACACTGCAACTGTCAGTATCCTTTCCTACCCACACACTGGATCACTAAAACTTCAGAGTCAGAAATTGCATAGACTAATTAGAAAGACAGAGACCAATTATCTGTGACAGTAGGAAATCTGCTTTGCAAATGATTATTTCCCCATATATCTCTACAAAATTTTAACCGGGTTCAGTTCTACTCCCCATCCTCAACAACCCAGCTAAGGAGTGCTTCTCGCAGTAATTCTGTCAATCTTATTCCTATTAGAACAGAAAAAGGCCTATGTTGATGGTTTATCAGTTTTTCCTCTTTGTTCAGAGAAGAGGCACTAGTTTTGATAAATCTGCTTCTATTGTTTAGCTCATGCTAATATTTGTAGATAAATGAGAAAAGTGTCCAAATCCTAGCACAAAAAGAGAAGCTGAAGGAAAGATTTAAGGAGGTGGCTCTGTTTAGGATGGAAAACAGACAGTGGGTGGCTTCAAAGATGGGATAAATTCACAAAAGACAAAGTCATTAATGACTACTAGTCAGGATGATCATATATCACCTCCAGCATATACCTCTTTATATGAGCTACTAGGGAAAGGAGACAAAGGGCACTGTTGTACTTATGGTATTCATGGGCTATCCACCAGCAATTGGTTGTCCTTTGTGTGACGAGAACGTTGGACTAGACAGGCCTTTGGTATGATCAATGGTGTCTCATATTTCTCAGGCACAGCATGACAGCCACCATATCATATATAATGGCTATCATGAGAGTGGATCAAATTTGTTCTGTGTTGCTTCAATTGTAAAGGAATATGATCCAAATCAATCCTCAGAAGATGATGACGCCTCCATTATTAAAAATTTTAGGCACAAACTAGATAGTCATCTTTAAAGGATGCTACAGCAATAGACTTCCTGCATTGACAAGGGTTTGAAGTAGACAGTTTTTGAGGTCCCTTCCACTCCGTAAACCCAAATTACCTATTTACACAGCTATGTGGGTTAAAGCACACTAATTGTCTTCCAGACCTCTGTCCCTTGCCGGAAAAAAGGATCACAAGCACAAAAACACATCTAGGTGTAAATGGAAGCTATGCTTTTTTCAATGGGATTCCCATCCTCATGTGTATACAAATGTAGAAGTATTAATCTGTGCTTTGTATTACTAAGTACTGTCTTATCTAAAATAAGGCTAAATGCTTTGGCCTAAATCCTGATGAGCTTCCACTGAGTGGAAAGTCCTGCCAGCATAATAACACTGGATCAACTTGCTTGTACAAGTGAAACCATTATAGATGTTTGGGGGAAGTGTTTTTTTATGGAGATAACTGCTTGTGCAATAGCACAACCCCATGTAAATAATCTGGTAGGCCTTTCTGCTCAGGAAAAAGTTCAACAGAATATTAGCCTTTATTATCTTCTTCATTTTAAGCAAATGTTGTATCCTATTAAAGTAGTAGGCCAAAATTCACATCAGGCAAAGCAAATTTAATTTTTGTTCCCAATGTAAATGGACGAACAGCAATCACTCAGCACACACCCTATCTCATTTTGAAGCACATGGCCCCTTATCAGATAGGAACCTATTACCTTGAGCTGCTTTCTACAGGTTTGTAGACTCAATTGTCAGAGTCTGACCCTCATCTCAGGGCAAGATTTTTAGGACTTCTGCGTGCACACGAAAGCACACAGCTTTGTAATTCCTAGTATAAGGAGTGAGTTTTCTTCTGATGTCTTTTGAGGAGGGGTGGTGAGGGAATGTAAAAGAAAATAAATCTTTTTTCTCTCTCTTCAACCTGCAAATCAACCATTTTAGGAACAGTGGGCAATGAAGGATCATTCTGCACCGGTTCACAGGATCACACAGCTTTTACTAATGTGAATGGATCTGATATAAAAAGAAAACAAAACACACAAAAAAGTGTGGAAGTCCCAGAATCAAAGGCAAAAACTATGGATTGTGTGGAGTTATTACCCACCCTTGTTTTCAGATTGTGTATAAGGACATGCTTTTTTATTATACTAAGAATATACAATAAACATTTATCAGTGGCCAAGAATGAGGAAAAATCTGATGAAACACACACACCCCCTTTCTGCGTATTGACAATTCTGGAGATTTGATGGGTTTTAATCGCACTATATCTAAGTTTCTTGGAAATTTAAGCCACAGTGCCTAAGAGAGATAAGAATTTTGTTTAGACAAAGCAAGTTCCTACTGCCATTCCTTCCATGAAACAGGAACCCAACCATAAAGTGGCAGAGAAACATCTGAGAAGTGAGATGGGGTTCAGTTTAATGTCAAGTAAGTAGGACCTATAGAAACTCCTCACTGAAGTTAGCTGTTCCTAAAACTACAAATGCTATATTGAATACAATGAACACATTTAGGTGAACTCATGACTAAAGTTCAGTCAGGACACATTTAGCATGAGGCTACAACAGTCTTCCAGAGTTTCTTCATAGCAGGGGTCAGGTCTACGATTAGACAGGAGCGAGAGCCCATCTGCTTAAATTATTGTAATAGGTATCTGTAATACTGGAGGTGAGGGAGTGTATTTAGATTTACTACCTGAGGTCTTGGAAGGAAGGAAGGAAGGGCAGATCCTGAAACTGAGGCTCCAATACTTTGGCCATCTCATAAGAAAAGAAAACTCCCTGGAAAAGACCCTGGTGTTGGGAAAGTGTGAAGGCAGGAGGAGAAGGGGACGACAGAGAACGAGATGGATGGACAGCGTCATCGAAGCGACCAACATGAATTAGACCCAACTCCGGGAGGCAGTAGAAGACAGGAGGGCCTGGCGTGCTCTGGTCCATGGGGTCACAAAGAATCAGACACAACTTAACGACTAAACAACAACAACAACTTGAGGTCCAAACTGTCCTAAGCAATCATAATTACTTCACAAATACATGTTTGTACATTACTGATTTTAATGGAATGCACTCTGATGTAAAGCAGAATATAAATTATAGAAGAGGAAAAATAGGAGGAGGAAGAGAAGCACAAGCAGCAGAAACAGAAGCAGGAAAAGGAGGAGGAGAAACCACCTGTGTGCAGATTTCCATTTTCAGAGATATGCTTGTAAACCGCACAGAGTGGCCCTGGCTGCCAGACGGCCGGTATATAAATCTAATAAATAAATAAATAAATCTGACAGAGCTGGTTCAAAAAAGACATTAAGATCCCACGACTGCAGTACCACCTGTCTTTCAGCCCACATAGTTAATAAATTAAACAATGGTCAACCAGGTTATAGATCAATGATAGAACTATGGCAAAACCCACAACCAAGCAGTTCAGAAAAGGAAGGCTACAATGGCTGAACTTTGACACAGTTGAATGTATGCTTAAGAATCCAGCTCTGTTGTTCGATTCACCTATGTGAAAATAAACCTGAGCAGGAGTGAGAATCATGTGGTGTACCTGCTGTCCTCAATGCTACAGTGAGAACCCCAGCAGCATTTCCCCCCAGAAACAGCCATGATTCTCCAATTTAAAAAGGCTTCCTATTTTCCTTTAGTCAGCAAAACCAAAGGAGGGATTATTTGAAAAGGGAAAATAGCATTCTAGATCCTCCAGGTTTTCATTCTTACATTAATATCTACAGGAGCAGATTGAAAATAATAGAGAATGTAAAAACTTGTATTAAATGGCTCTTAATCTTCAGCCCAAACTGTATTCCCACCACATCTTTAAGAGTAAATAAAGTGTCATGTAATTAAATCAGCAAGACAGGAATTTATTTGCATCATCTGCAAACTTATAAACTTGGAATTGCTATCAGCACTAGCTATCTTTAAAAACACACCACCTGAAAAAATTCACAGTGGAATAGGGGGTGTGCACGACCCTGTACTGCCATTACTTCTCAAACCCCATCCAAACAACCACCTCATACACATTTTAAAAAGGTGTGCAAGGCTATTTTGATTAGTTTCACAATGTTCAAATTCTTTATGGATATACTTACCAGCTTTTGTCTCATTATCCCAATCCCAGGCTTCTATTATTAATGTGAATGCTCTCTGAAACAAAACACACAAAGCAATTACTGGAGGGGGGGAAAGAGTTATCATTCTAGAAGTGGGATGCATTGCATTTTGCAGAAACATCCCTTTCTCTGAAATATGACATTATGGCTCTTCCAGGAGCAACTGATTAACTTGCTTAAATAAAAGAAACAACATACAGTAGGAAGCAAGTTTATAAATATGACACAGGAAATATGTTTGTGTTGATGTGTGCACTAACTGTACAAATCTACTGGTCTTACTGCTTTAGAAAGTGCATTAGTTATGACCAAAGTAACTGTGTCAATTTTTTTTTAAATAGTACTCTAATTCACGATTCTAACAACATTTATTGATTTACAAAGAATCCTAAAATGAAGCAAAATGGGTGGGTGAACTGCAAAAAGAGTTGTGGCATGACTTGGTGGTTTTGCTTTATGTATTGTGGAAACCTCACCCCACCGATTCCTGATTGTATGAAAAAACCTATTAGCAACTGAAGCAGCCCTAATAATGCAGCAACACAAGCTGAAACTAAGCAAGCCTAGGTATAATCAGATCCTGGGGAATCTGAGTGGGAATATATATGCTATTTGTCACTGAAGAAAGTAGATAGATACTTTGCTTTTCCAAATATTATCCAAAAAGATGAGATAATATTTTCCAACTACTGTATTTCCTGGGACAGGGCTCACCATTAAAAGTAAGAACAGGACAGTTTTTCTTTTTTCTCCAGGAAAGAGATAAAAATGGTAACAACAACAACTATGTTGGCAAGCTGGCCTCTGTATTGTATTTTCCACAATGCCTGTTCAGATGCATTAGAAGAATTTGGAACATATTATGATAGCAATCAACTTAAACCCAACCTATTAAGATTCAAATACGCATTTTCCATTTGAGAAACAAACAAGCATCTTGAAGACTTCAGATTACCTGAAAGGGTCTCCAAATACCTAGGTGTTCCTTTGGATTTATGCTGACTTACAAGAACACTGCCAAAATACAAAGCAAAAGGTCTCCACACGGTACGGGAATCATCAGAATAGAAGACTGGGATAGAGTTGGTGGAATTGGGGTGAGTTCCATTGTAGGGCTAGTCGGTAGACTGGACAGTGCCAAGGATTTCTCCCACAAACGGGATCTCAGACATTGAAGTCGGAGTTTTATGGCTGATTTAGTCAATTCCTTGCACTCCAAACAATTATGAGTCTGATGACTCTCACCCAAACAGAATAAGCAGCAATCGTGGCCATCAGAGAATGGAATTTTACTGGCACACATCGCGCAATGTTTGAAAAGGCCTGAGGAGGCCATAAAAAAGGGGTGGGAAGGGGGGAAAAGGGGAAAAACAAAGAAAATAATTCACAGGGAACGTCCAAAAACGAAAAACTTGATAAAGTTTGTAATCCTAGAACAGTAGTCAGTAATCAGTCCAAAAATTAGTATACCGTAAACAATCAAAGAATCAAAATCACAAGCTCTAGTAAAAGGAAGTCCAATTTCAGAGGTGGCTAAAAGGAACTGAGGTTATATGGGCAGGTGGAGCATGCACGCCACGGGGGTAACGTCCTACTAATCACGTCTTTTTAAGCTCTAGTCTAGAATATTTCGAGAAGTCCTGCACAGGTGCAGTAAAACCCATTTGTGTGGATTCACAGAGGCCACAAAGAAGAACTAGGTGTTCCTTTGGATTTATGCTGACTTGCAAGAACACTGCCAAAATACAGTGGTGCCTCGCAAGACGATGTTAATTTGTTCTGCGAAAAAGGCTGTCTTGCAAAAACATCGCCTTGCGAAACGCGGTTTCCCATTGGAATGCATTGAAATTTATTTAATGCATTCCAATGGAATAATTGTCATCTTGCAAAAATCGTCCATAGAAAACATCGTCTTGCGAAGCGCAACAGCGATCGCAAAAAACAATAGTCTTGCGGATTAATTGTTCTGCGAGGCAATCGTCTTGCGAGGCACCACTTTACAAAGCAAAAGGTCTCCACAAGGTACAACATCCTTCAAAAGCTATTGGTAACCAGCTGGCGCACACAATCTCAAACACTAAGAACAACTGCCTTAGTCTTATGCTACTCTGAGGGGGAATACTCTAGCCTGGTATGGTATAGTTAAGACCATGCAAAACAGGTAGACACAACAATGAACAGAAGTTGTAGAATCATTATTGGATGCCTAGAGCCAAACCCTATTTTTAAAATCAGTTGCATAGGAGGCACTGCACCCAATGATATATGGAGAGATATAGCAAGTAATAGTGAAAGACTCAAAACATCTATATCCAATGTTTATCCACTCTTCGGCTACCATTCCATCCCTCCCAGATTAAAATCAAGAAAAATTTTTATGTGAATCATGGGGGGAAAGAAACAGTAGAGAAAGTCAGGAGTATAATGTGGCAGGGTGGGCGGAGAGGACTACCCACCTCTTAAAATGGATGAAAGCCCAAGAAAGTCCAGCCCCCAAGCACGGAGAGAACTGGGTTACTTGGAAATCACTAAATAGGCTACATACTGGAGTTGGCAAAATGATGGTGAATCTAACATAGAGCAGCTTTTGCACCAACAAAGTTCTTTGTGAGTGTGGAGAAGAACAGGCAGCTTTACACCTGTTGTTACAGTGTACTCTATTCCCCCCAACATGAATTATGGAAGATATGATCTTAGCTGCCCCCAATGCACTTAACATGACCCATTAAATTATTTGATGCATTTATTAAATGCACTGCAGAGCTTCTGTCACAAATAACGAAATAAGTCTCCAGTACTCAGATCAGGGTCATTTGTTTAACATGTTTAAAAATGTTGAGGAGCATTTGGTAATGTGCTAGAAATATAAACAAACTTTTAGACAAATCTGAGAACTATTATTTGCCAGCAGGAAATAACTACATAAAGTAGTTAATAAACAACTTCATGCAATTGAGTCTTATTAAAACAAAATGAGTTTTGCTGATCATCGAATGACACAGTATGTTCAATTTGTATTGTGTAGTTTAAGATCTTCCTCCTGCCCTTGGGAAATAAGCACACATGGCCCTGGTTCAGATAAGGACCACTGCATCCGGACATGGTATGCTAAGCAATTCCACTTGTCTGTTTTTCCACCTAAATATTCTTCCCACCATTAAAAGAGAGAGAGAAAAAGCCACCAACAAAAAAGAAGTCTTCTTTTCCTTTCTGATAATTCTCTCATGGTGCATCAGGTTTTGAATAAAAACAAATACTGATCCCAAGTCAGATCAGGGTCATGCACAATTATTTAAAGAAAGAAAAATGTGATCTTAATTTTGCAGTGCATGTCCAAACAGATTATACCATCTGATTCTGAGAGTTTTTTTTTAAAAAAAAAACAACAACAACGCTGCCCTACAAGGAAAAAAAAACACACACACACACACAACGCTGCCCTACAAGGCATATACTGGCCCATCCAGTTGACATGGAAGAACAGGACTAGCGTAGCAAGTATATGAGGCAAAAACAGAAGAACAAAAAGTGTTCTCTCTTTTTTCTTTTGTTTTTGCCTGTTATACTAGCACAGACTAACACAGCTACCTCTTCTAAAACTGCAATTTGTGTAACACTTACACAGTTTTCATTACACTGTCTGAATTAGCAGGAATTAGCACTATTTGTTGCATGGATCAAGGCTGATGAAATTTCCAAACAAACTGGAGGAATTGTTCAAATGTCAAAGACAAAAGGCTTAGATGATCTGCGAGCCACTGTATTCTAGAGCTTTTCTCTTATGGTGAAAGGACTTAGCTGGGAACCATAGTCCTGTCCCATCCTTCCCTGAGATCTTTCATTGCCAGACAGGGAGGATTGGCAGGCCAAATTTGCCCCACAGGACACAGATTTCCCCAGCCATAATACAGATGATGGGAGACCATTGGGTCATTTCACCAGACCAGATAAATCAAATCAAATCAAATCAAATCAAATCAATCAATCAATAAATAAAATATCTTTGCCTGCTGGAAAGTGTTTGCTGGGGCTCCAATGCTCATGGCCAGTTCCTTCACATACCAGGAACAGATGAACTAAGAAGCCAATTGAGAAAGAACTTAGTCTCATGTCAACATGGCCTTGAACTGAACCGTGCTGTTATGTGCCATTAAGTCACCTCCACTTTATGTTTACTCTACAATTTAATGATTTTCAAAAGGTGCTGTTATTTACAGTCAAATTTAGATCTTGAAAGTTCAAGGCCAACATTACCTTTATTGAGACAATCACACTCATGTTAGAACTTTCTACTACCTTCAGCTTTTGCCTTATTGACATTGCTGCTTCTTTTCAAAAGGTGCTGTTATTTACAGTCAAATTTAGATCTTGAAAGTTCAAGGCCAACATTACTTTTATTGAGACAATCACACTCATGTTAGAACTTTCTACTACAGTACCTTCAGCTTTTGCCTTTATTGACATTGCTGCTTCTTGCATTATTCTTTTCCAGTGAGTTTTGCCTTCTTGAGATACTTCTAAAGTACAAGATCTGTTTAGTCATTTTAGTGAGAGTACAGACTTGTATCTAGAACCCACTTACTTGTCTTTCTGGCAGGCTGGGTATCTATAAATCTCTTGTCTAGAACCACACTGCAAATGAATAAATTCTCTTCCCATTTTTTCCCCATCAGCCTTCTTCACAGTGCAGGTTTCATAGCCATACATAGCGAGTGGGAATACAAGACTGTGGATGAACCTGGCCTTGGTTGCTAGTGACACATTCTTCTTACATTTGATGCCCTTCCAAGTATCAGTCGTCTTCTGATTTCTTGGCTGCAGTCTCCATTTGGATCAATGATTGAAACACTGCAAATGAATAAATTCTCTTCCCATTTTTTCCCCATCAGCCTTCTTCACAGTGCAGGTTTCATAGCCATACATAGCGAGTGGGAATACAAGACTGTGGATGAACCTGGCCTTGGTTGCTAGTGACACATTCTTCTTACATTTGATGCCCTTCCAAGTATCAGTCGTCTTCTGATTTCTTGGCTG